GACTTGGTTTCATGAAATATAAAGCTCAATCAACTCCACTATAGCTTTCTGCCTGAGTATCAAGATTGTCCATCATGATTTATCTGTTTCTCTAATAGTATCTTTGACCGAAGTACAAGAAAATGGAACAGATGTATCAAATTCAAAAAAATAAAAAAAAAATCAAAATAAAGGCATGTACTTAGAGTGGGATATGTTAATAACATATAGTTCATTTTAAAACTTAGACACTAGCCTCATGTTCTTTTCATTAAGTAAAGGTTAGTCATTGAAATGTACAAATAAAATTCTGCCTACTTTTGTATCTTTTTAGAATATGAAAGCACTTATCCATTGTTGGACTTTCCCACTCTATGGGATGCTTAAGGATCAGGATGGGAGTTCTTCTGTTCCTTGCAATGTATATAATTTATTGGTTGTTATTGTTTAGTTTCAAGGACATGTCCACTTAAAACCAATGTTAGAGGAAAATAAGGTTGTCTGTCTACAAATAACAATGTTTGGAGGATATGCTAGTGTGGTGGATCAAGTTTCTTTAGAAAAGGAATAGAGGTCTATGAAACATTTTGCAAGGAGATAGGAAAGAGGCTTTACAAGTAAACTTTCTATCCCTTAATAATTCAGCTGATTTGATTACAAGCTTCTAGATTTACAAGAACAGAATAAGGATTTCAATTCATGTCTCTAAGGGTAACAATCTTTTGGATGGATAAAGGATTGGTTTAAGTGATCCATTCATGGACTATAAAAAAGGAAAAGGCTCCTAGTTCAGTGTTACCTTCTTAGTCCAAAGATAGACATTGGATATGATTAAGTTATTTGGAGCAGGCAGATTTTTTAACTAAATAGTAGGAAAAAAAGATGGTTTCTTGTGAATGAACATTTCATGAGTGATATTAGGGAAGAGGAAAAAGTTATGATGTTACAATGGCCAATGAAAATAACGTTTTGCAACAAGATAAGTTAAACTTGGATTTCATTAGTTAGTGAGCGTTTGGAAGGAATTTGGTTTACTTTTCATGGGAAACCAAGGTTCAAAATATGGCTACACTCCAAGGTTCAAAATATGGTTTACTTTTAATCAGTTTGAATGAGAATAGGCTGCCTTTTTATGACAATAAAGATTCCATGCATCAGACAAGAGTACAAAATTGTGCAGAAACAACACCAAATAGTGTTTTCTCTGCCCATATGTTATAGGCTGGTCTCAATGCTACAGGTCCAACCTAGAGGATGTCCTAGTTGAAAGTCAACCCAGTATTTCACTTTATTTCTCCAATTTCTTGGGGGGCGGGGGATGGGTTATGGTCAATCACTGACCAGAATAAGAAAGGCTGCAAATTAACATCTTCAAGTTTGGAAGGAAAATAAATCAGACCTTACTAGTGCAAAACAGAAAATCCAACAAACAACAAGTCATAACTTCAATGCTTTTACAGTGAATGACAAGCTCTGAACATATTGAAAAGACAAAACAATTAGTATTGTTTTTCACGATGGAAGGAAATCTAAAATAATGAAAAAACAGGTAAGATACAATTTCTAAGATAACAGTCAAAAAAATTATTGAGTAATTATTCAATGTACTCATTGGAGTGCCATCCATTGTGGAACATAGGGTCTTTTCCTCATTTTTTCCCTCTCTCTCTCTCTCATTAGGGTGAATCCTTCTGTTGTAAAGTTGTTGCAGGGAACAACAAGGCATAATTTTCTTTTTCTGTAATAGTTTCCAATTTTAAWCTTTTCAAAAGAATTATCCCTTAATAAAAAATCGGTTCATGTATCCCAAAAACAATTGGAAACTTACGAACAATGAAATTGATGAGAGATAGGGCAATTRAAACAAACCTGATCCAACGAAGTTGCACACCTTTGGCACCCGAGCTAGCTCTTGCGTCTAGAGAAACACAAATGAATAAGGGTTTTGTGAGTACGAGAGAGATAAAGAGTGGGAGAGAGGGAGATAAAGAGTTATAGAATCAAAAAAAATCTTACATGAAACAATTGATGGATTGCTCCAACAGCAACACCCGAACCAATTGATGATTTGTTGGCAAAGACACAGCTTGATTGAAAAAGAATGAGGATTTTGTGAGTATAGCAAGACAACTCGATTGAGGAGGGTTTTGTGAGTATAAAAACGAAGATTGAAGAAAGTAGAGAAGAGAAAGTGTAGAGTGGTTTTGGGGGCAGGAGGGAAAGAGACCAAAAATACCGTGGGCATTCAAAAAACGATACAATACCAAAACAATGTCTTTAGCCACGGACAAAACGACTGTAGTTACAAGCTAAATTCATGTAATTATGAAATTATTAATAATTTCATCATTAATTGTTATTATTATGCATTAGTAATGAATTAATAATTTATTAATTATTAACTATTTACTTTTAATCATATTTATTTATTTTAATAATTTCTTAATTATTAATTTTTCTATTAATAGTAATTAATAAATAATAACATTTCTTAATTTTTAATTTCCATGCATTACATGAATTTCTAATCATTTTAGTAAATATTTTAGTATTTATTAATTTTTATCTTTTTATTAAAATATTTATTACTTTATTGTTTTTAAATACATTTATTATTTTATAATATTTTACAATCAATTTATATCCACTAATAACTAAATTATGTGGTTATAATTATATATATGCCAAAAATACTTGATACTGAAAAATAATACAATCTAACCCATTGTTTTCAAAACCAGACTAGACCGAACGGTTGAATTGGAAAAACTGGGAACTAGTCACCTAACCGGTTCTATTTTACCCCAGAATCATCTTTTGGCAAAAAACCGTTGATTTAGTCAATAAACCGCTAACTCGGGCAGTCGAACTGTTCAAACCGTCCATTCATTGAAGGATGCATTGAATGGAGTGATTGTTGTGGCATATGAACTTTCTTCTTATACCCTTTCTATGTCCAAGAGGTCTTCATTCACTCTTAATCTTGTATTTTTTTTTATATCCAATCAATAGTCAAAGGCTTATATGTATATATATATATATATATACATATAGAAGTACTTTTTATCCACCATTTATGCTTGACTTTATGTCACATTAGTTTCACCTACATGCTTTAGAGTTTCTTTTCTTTTTGTTTTTTCTTGTTAAAGATATATGGGTGAAGGGAAGGTTTTGTGGAGATTGAGTTTGTAAGCTAGGAAATCCATATTCTAACAATATTGTCTTCTTTTAAGGGCTAAACCTTTTATATCTAGTCTTGGTACTTATGCAGACAAGAAGGCTTTATTTGTACTTTGTGTGGACATGATTGTTTCAATAACAACTTAACTATATTTTTGTCCTTTAATTATGGTAGTGGTCTATTGAAGCCCTTATTGATTACATAAAAAAGCTATATGCCCCATATTGTAATCACACATTTTTTTAGGCAGTATGAACCACCATCTTGACAGTGTAAAGCATTAAACTTTTCCAATATTTAACTAGACGAATGACTTAAGTCTAGTAGGTTTTTTGAAATTATACCAGAGATATGTACCCCATGGGTTTTAATTCTTTGTTCCTTTCAGTTTTTCTTTTTCTATGCTAACCTTGTATTCTATGTCCTGAGTTCTTGAAATAGTAATTTTTGTTAAAAACCAAGTATTTTACTTTTTTTTTTCTATTTTTCGTTTTATTGGGTCTGTGGCATATATTGATATATTTTTTATTTAATGCGACTTTTGTAGATTTCATGTGTTGGAGGTTTTGGCTCAAATTCATACATGTACAAAATTAGTGGGGCTGCAAAACATCAATGCAATTAGATCTGCTGCAGAACAAGGTACATATGCTTCATATATACATTTATGCATGTGAAACGCCTGGGTTACTGGCTCTATAGTATATAGATCTAAGCATGTGCCAGGCCCATTCAAATTTTGATAAAAACCAAGCCCGAGCCCGGCTCATGAATAGGTCTACTAAGATATATACACAATTTTCTGCACATATCATATGGAGCTGGTAAAGAATGCAAAAAATCTCCACAAAAGAGCATGCACATGGCCCAAGTGAATCTCTCACTTTTGTTGCTTTGCTCTTAAGAGAATTTGTTTTAAAGACAACAATAATCTCTCACTTTTATATTTAAATGATTAAATCACTATTGTTTCATTGGTTTCTGACTAGGACTATGTTACATTCTTTAGGTCATGCACATTGTTGCAGTGGTTGAAATAAATCCAATGCTTATATATCCAGCTTGAAACAACTACATGCTTCACTAGATTCAAAGGTTGAAAAGTATTTAGCTTATATCTCTCTGGGTATAATTTCATAATCTTAATTATAGCTCATTTCACCATTCTAAAATAACATTTCCCCCAAATCTTTCACAATCACCAAATACTGCTAATAACAAATGCACATGTTTTTTAAAGTTCCTAAGTTTAAAAGGAAAACAAATTCTGTTAAGCTATTAAATTGCACCATAACTTGTCAATTTATATAAATCTTAAGTTTATGGATCTTGATGTTATATATCAAAAAAGCACTTGAAAAATAACATGATATTAGATTGTTAGTAAGATAAATCAAAAACTACTTTGATATTATGCATCATTAATAAAAATAGGCTAAAATAATTTCCATTGGTCTTGAAATTGTGAACCTTTGGTAAAAATAAAGAACTTAATGGGAGAGGTAAGTTGAAAACTAATGGGAGAGGTGGTGACTAGCTTCAAGTGGATTTATAGACCAGCTAACAACTTGGACAATACCTTGGCCAAGTAGGGATTGAACAGGTAGCAAATGTTTTAGGGGGTTAACATGTAATGAGGGTTGAAATTGCATTGGGTTAGGTAAAAGATACTAGTTTTACTTACAACTGTTACCACTGACAGTCTATATTTAGAATAAAGATTTAATTTCTCAAGATGCCACAATTACCACTAAAAGTCTGAAACAATTTAATTTATTATAGGGGAAGATGAGGGAGGAAGTTATAGAAGCTACTGATACAACTAAGTAAGTACTTAACCTTTTCTTCCCAATAATTTGGTTGAGTTAGGATGTCTAGTTTTTATTTTGTAGTTTCACTTGAATGAAGAGTGAAGACATAATCAATTAACAAATTTGCTATATGAATCAACAAAGAATATTTGAATTTTATAGGATGCATTAACAAATAAGAGAATTATTAAAATAGAAAAAATATAAAGAACTATAGAATTGTTGGGCACATTCAGGTTGCATTCGATACCAAGGCATTTCTAATATGAAATATTTTGCTTATATATATATATATATATATATAGGCCACAAAATGAAGTAGCATTTTGATGCAAGACTAGGAAGAAACTACTCTCCCAAGGCTATTTTTAAGGTAAGAATCATTCAACATGTAATTAGATGGTTAAATATCTTTCGCTTTTGAAAAATTATATTTACTAATTTGACTAATTTTTTGCTTTTGGTTGTACCATTTTTTTCTTGTAGGTTGTCGAAGAAAAAGAATGCAAATGGTGTTGAGATAAACTAATTTTTTTTCGTTTCTTAGAGTAGGAAGTGAATTTATTTTTGTATTTTTTATTTTATGTGTTTTTGTAGATGAATTGTTCTTTTTCTTTGAATTTGTATCAATTAATATAAAACAATATTCAGAAACAATCAATATCGATCTTTTAATAGATATATCAACGAATTATTTTAAATAGTAAATTAAATATTCTTATATAGGTTTATAAAAGTTTTATATATGATAAAATAATTTTTTAAAACACACATAAATGATTTTTAGAGGTTGTCACAAGTGCCTATAAATAAGAGCAACCAATACTTTTAGTGGAAATTACAAGTACTATTATAAAGCATAACTAGGATTCTTAAAATTACTTATAGAGGCAACTAAATTTGCCTCAAATTTAATTAAAATGCCACAAAAAATATACATTTGGTGGCATTAATATATGCCTCTATAAAATACTTTTGATGACAATGATTTAGAGGCTTTAGGCATGATTATGCCTCAATGTCTTATTTTTGGAGTGCCACTTATTCTTTTTAAAGGCATTTTTTGTTGTGTGATTTTTCTAATAGTGATATTTACATTTACTAGTTACATATAAATAGAATAGACAAATAGATACCCATACATACATAATTTCCTTGTATCATGCATAGTTATATATATATATATATATGCAATAATACATATGTAAATAAATACTTGCTTAAATGCATATTTATTCAATAATTATCCATGAAGTTAAGTTAGATTTGGATTGATTAAGGGATCAAACCCTAACCCAATCCAAAGTTAAAACACTTTCATACTTTTTAGTCTTAACTCTAACTCGAACTTCAATCCAATGCAACCCAACCCAACCCAACCCGATTTTGAAGCCTAACATCAACCAGATAGACAATGAAAATCGAGGATCCCGACCGAGATGATCGAGATGAGAGAGGCAAGCCATCCTTGGTGAAACTCACATGTGAAACCAATATTTGACGACTGTTGTAACCCCATATCCGGGGATATCGATCTCTATCAACCGATGGAAAATGTTAGCTTTGTTCTCTGTACTCGTTCTCATTTTTTAATTTGCAAAGTTAAAATTTGATTTTAAAGAATAGAAGTGTAGAATCAGAATCAAAATGGTCCATTTGAATTCCAACTGTTTGGTTTAGTAGAACCGGAATCCCATTTCTTTTCCCTCTCCTCTGAATAAGAATCGATTCCAGCTAATTCTGATTCAATTTTGATTTCCGTTTAAACCAATGAAGGGAATAAATCATTCTGATTCCGAGAACCAAACGGACCCTTACACAAATAGGGATTTCCAGTCTCCACCGCGATACTCTCTCTCTTCCTCACCGAGAACCAATTTTGATGTCCTTCTTCCTTAGTTCCTCCTCTCTCTCTCTCTCTCTCTCTCTCCAGTCTCCACCCCATAACACAAATCAGGGATTCCGCTCTTTTTCCAGTTCTTTTGAATTTACTTTAACTACTTTACTCTATAATTTACGTTGCAGATAAGAATTAACAACGTAAATGGAACCTTCGAAGACGTTTCACTAGCTCTGGCTTATCAGACCTGATTCGGTAGGAAATCTGGCTATGGTTTGTTCTCTTTCAATGCTTGCTTATCCAAATGGCGCGCTCATATCATAGTTGATTTCTTTTCTGCTTTCATGTTGTGCTTTAGGGGAGGTGAAGGTTTACGGGACGTATGACTATCACCGCCAGAAAGACAGTTTTGAAGGGAGCACCGAGTGAACTAATGCTGCTTAGCGGTCATTGTTCCAACAATTTAGCTCTTCAACTTTTGCTTCAAAACTTTGTTCTGTGAGGATGTAAACTTTCTAGCTTGTTGGCGCAACGTAAATCCGCCATGAAAGAACACAGTAGATGTCATCCCTTTCCTTTTGTGGCTGCTATTAATGCAACCCATTTATGAGCTCATGGATCCCGCTTGCATTCTCTCTGTTGGGTCCTTCTCAAACTCAATGGTTTGTCTCTTCCCGAGAAAATTTCCGGTGGAAACCACAATAGGATCATTCCAGAAGCTTCGGAAGGTACTGTCGATCTCTTAATTTTCCATTTTAGTTTTGGTTTAGACTCTATGTTTTAGTTAGTAATTTTTCTCGCTTTTTCTTCTTTGTTCGCCTGTGCAAAGTGCAGTTATTTGTAGCTATTGGTTGTAGATTGAATTCGTCTGCTTTTGGTAATAGTGTGCTTTGTGGTGCCTTTCATGAATCTTCCGATGAGGAATTGGGGGGAAATGTATTGGAAACGCTAAGCAAGAAAGAGAATTTAGACTTTCTCCATTTAAGTGGAGAATCTAGTATTCATGCAGATTTCAACACCTACCATTGGCTTTTGGAGGGATGTTTACGTTCTGGGTCGTTGATCAATGCTAAATGTCTCCATGGGAAGATTTTGAAATTGGGTTTTGATTGTGATCCTGTTTTGTGCAGCCAGCTTATTAGCATTTACTCAGGTTGTGGCCACTTAGATGATGCCAATGGCATGCTTGATAATCTGTCTCAACAAAGTTTATCTTCTTGGAATATTATAATGTCTGGCCTCGTTACAAAGAAATCATATAGTCATGTCTTGGGTTTGTTTTCACAAATGATAGCAAAGAATGTGAAGCCTGACCATTTTACTTTTAGCAGTGTTCTTGAGGCATGTTTTGGTGGCAATGTTGGTTTCCATTATGTTGAACAGATTCATGCAATGATTATTCGTTATGGTTTTGCTACTGATCAAGTTGTTTGTAATCCCTTGATCAACTTGTATTCAAAGAATGGGTACATAGATTCAGCTTGTTTGATTTTTGAAGAATTATGTTCGCGGGATAGCAAATCTTGGGTGGCCATGATTTCTGGTTTCTCTCAAAATTGCCATGAAGAAGAAGCACTTCTTCTCTTTAACCAAATGCAACAGTCAGGAATCACTCTAACCCCATATGTGTTCTCAAGTGTCCTAAGTGCCTGTACCAAAGTAGAGGCCTTTGAGCAGGGAGAGCAGCTGCATGCTCAAGTCTTGAAGAGGGGATTTTCTTCTGAAATTTGTGTTTGCAATGCACTTCTCACTCTTTATATTTACCATGGAGACTTGGTGTCTACTGAAAGGCTTTTTAATGAAATGGACTGTAGAGATAAAGTCACTTATAACTCAGTTATCTCAGGGTTTGTTAAGTGTGGAAACAGTGATAGAGCTATTCAACTATTTGAGAACATGCAGGTTGCTGAATTTAAACTAGACATTGTTACCATTGCAAGCTTATTGAGTGCTTGCTCTTCTGTTGGGGCTCTCCACAAAGGGAAACAACTCCACTCCTATGCAATAAAGTTAGGAGTTTCTACTGATATTAGGATTGAGGGTTCTTTGCTTGACTTCTATGTTAAATGCTTTGACATAGAAACTGCCCATGAATTCTTCCTTGCAACAAAGAGAGAAAATGTGGTTCTATGGAATGTGATGCTTGTAGCTTATGGGCAGTTGGGAAATCTAAGAGAGTCCTTAGACATATTCTCCCAAATGCAAATTAGAGGAATCAGGCCTAATGAGTATACATACCCGAGTATCCTGAGAACTTGTACTTCCTTGGGAACTATCGGTCTTGGAATGCAGATTCATACCCTAATCATAAAGACTGGCTTTGAGCTTAATGCATACGTTTGTAGTGTTCTTATAGATATGTATGCCAAAAATGGAGTTCTAGAGTTAGCTCGACAAATTCTTGAAAATCTCACAGAAGAGGATGTGGTCTCATGGACGGCCATGATTGCTGGCTATGCACAAAATGATTTGTGTATTGAGGCACTTACACTTTTTGAAGAGATGCAAATTCGAGGGATTCGATCTGACAACATAGGATTATCCAGTGCTCTCAGTGCATGTGCTGGAGTTCAAGCACTAAATCTAGGGCAGCAAATTCATGCTCAATCATGCGTTTCTGGTTATTCAATGGATCTTTCAATTGGTAACTCACTTATTAATCTTTATGCTAGATGTGGTAGAATACAAGATGCATATTCTGTGTTTGACATGATTGATGCAAAAGACCAGATTTCATGGAACGGGTTGATATCAGGATTTGCACAAAGTGGGCACTCTGAGGAATCTTTGCAGGTGTTTTTTCAGATGAATCGAGTAGGTGTAGGAGCAAATTTATTCACGTTTGGTTCTGTAGTTAGTGCTTGTGCAAACATAGCTGATCTCAAGCAAGGAAAGCAGATTCATGCACAGATTATAAAAACTGGATATGATTCAGATACCGAGTCTGGTAATGTTTTAATCACATTATATGCCAAATGTGGAAACATTTATGATGCTTGGAAGAAGTTCCGTGAGATGCCTGACAGAAACGAGATTTCATGGAATGCCATGATCACAGGATATTCTCAACATGGATGTGGTATTGAAGCATTGAATCTCTTTAAGGAGATGAAGCAGCAAGGTTTGGTACCTAATTACATTACATTTGTGGGTGTCCTATCAGCTTGTAGTCATGTGGGTTTGGTAAGCAAGGGGCTCAGCTACTTCAACTCCATGACTACGGAGCATGATATAATTCCAAGAGCAGAACACTATGCCTGTGTTGTAGATATTCTTGGACGTGCTGGCTTGTTGGACCGTGCAAGAGAATTCATAGAGGAGATGCCAATTGTCCCAGATGCAATGGTTTGGAGGACACTTCTTAGTGCCTGCATGGTGCATAAGAATATTAAAATTGGGGAGCTTGCAGCACAACAACTTCTAGAATTGGAACCAGAAGACTCAGCAACTTATGTCCTCCTGTCAAACATATATGCAGTGGCTAGGAAGTGGGATTGTCGAGATCGGATGAGGCAAATGATGAAAGAAAGAGGGGTAAAGAAGGAACCTGGTCGTAGTTGGATTGAGGCCAACAACTCAATTCATGCATTTTTTGTTGGTGATCGCTTGCACCCACTAGCATATAAGATCTACGAGTATTTGGAGGATTTAAACAAACGGGTAGCTGAAATTGGCTATGTGCAAGATCGCTATAGCCTTTTACATGATATTGAGCTAGAGGACAAGGATTCAACGGCATATGTTCATAGTGAAAAGCTTGCTGTCACTTTTGGGCTCATTAGTTTGTCCCCTGTTATACCTATACGTGTAATTAAGAACCTCCGTGTTTGTAATGATTGTCATAATTGGATGAAGTTTGTCTCAAAAGTTTGTAATCGGGCTGTTGTGGTACGAGATGCATACCGCTTTCACCATTTTGAAGGTGGTCTATGCTCATGTAGAGATTACTGGTAAATTGAACTGCCAGACTATTGAGCATATACTGTAACAATAGATTATCATTCTTTTCTTTGTACTTTATTCATTAAATTCGTAGAAAAAAGTTGTTCCAATATCTGCTATTTTGCTAGTTGAAAGCTTGAATTAAAATTTAGAAATAGTTAACCGGACTAAAAGATTTAAAAAAATGTAGAACAGAAGTTGCAACTAATAGAGAAGCAAGCAGTTGAAGTTGAATTTCTTTTCATTTATTTGAAGCTATCAGCTACATGGTTTATATAGCTAATAAAATGTTGCAACCAAAATAAAAAAAAAAAACAGTTTAAGAATAACATGTGACCCCCTTGAATGTAGCTCCGAACTGTCTCCTGTTGAGGAGTCTCTGGTTGTCCTATGGAGAGAGATGCAGAGAAGTAAAAGAATAAGACCTTTCAAGCTGGAGTGAGAAGACTTACCAAAGTCTCAAATGTACAAGGACTTGGAAGTCAGGATGTCAAGTGTCGAACTCTTAGGAGACTAAAAATAACAAGGAATTACGTTGGCATATTGCATCCACTCTTCATCTGTTAAATGAGCTCTAGAGCTTCCTGAAAACATCCAGCAGAGATCAACATCCATTTTCTCAATCAAATCGATGAACACATTGAAATATCCATCTTCACCACAGCAAGTTCATATGATACCATACTGTATCTTTAAGATGCCTCTTAACAAAGAAAAACATCATTGATACGCCCGTTTAATATTTAATTAAGAATCATTGGCACTGGCTCCAGTGGCCCCATGTTTCATAAAATCAACAGGCAATTGCTTACAAAAACATTAGCCATATCTTACTTTACTGATTGACAGCTTAACCTTTCTCCATGATCTAAAATTACATTAGCCACCATAAGCTCCAATGAAGTTACTTAAAACAAAGTACCTGCTTCGACATTGGGCCCATTAAATTCTTAGCTAGAAAGTTATGTGTTTCTTTCTAAACATATCTTCTAATTTGATTCACTATATTTTGAAGGCATTATTTTTTTTTTCAAAAATCTTCTCAAAAGCTAGAAAAACTGAATGTTTGGTAAGAGTACTTGTGGGCCGCCCTTCTTATACAAACATGTGAAATGTCATGTGTGGGACCTAGTAACATTCAAACATGTAAATTGTACTTTTGGGTCCACCCACATATTTTTCCCTATACGAGATATTAATGTAGTCCCCATCTATACATTGACATATGCGGTTATATCACCTATGGGCGCCACTCACGCATTCACCTATACAAAAAATCAATGTGGACCCCACATGATTCTAAACAATAGGGGACAAGAACCTACATTGACACATAGGTCATCTTTGATGTCCAGACACTAGGTTAGTAGAAATCTACTAAAATAAAAAATATGAACAGAAAAGGGTTTCTTGAAGAGAGAAAGAAGAGAGAAGGAGAAGAAGATGAGAGATCTTTGAAAAGAAAAGAGAGCAGTAATCTGGCCGCCCCCTTCACTTATTATTTATGTTAAAAATAATAGAGCAATACAAAGACAACTATACCCTTATAGGGCGGCATAACATGAAAACAACATATATAAGACTCAAAAACATAATAAAATTTGGACTCACATAACTACTATGGTCTCCACCTCCTATCTAACAACTAACATAAAACATCTACTCAGAAAAACAACATAAAACTGATTAATCTTCAACACTACCCCTCAAGTTGGGAGTAAATGTCACACATTCCCAATTTGTGTGGATCATGCTCTAGCTTGTTCTTTGCCACCCCTTTAGTGAGAACATCAGCCAGTTACAACTCTGAAGAGACATATTGCAAACAAACTTCTCCGGCTGTTACCCTTTCTCTTATGAAGTGTCTATCAACTTCATTGTGTTGTCCTGTCATACTGAATTGGATTGTGGGCAATATTGATTGCAACCTGATTGTCACAGTACAACTTCATAGGCTCCTCTGCTTTCACCCTAATCTCACTCAAAAGAGATCTAACCCAAAGAAGTTCTGAGACACCATGAGCCATGGATCTATACTCAGCCTCTGCGCTTCACCTTGCCACAACCGCTTGCTTCTTACTCTTCCAAGAGATCAAGTTTCCACCGACAAAGGTATACACTCTTGATGTAGACCTCCTGTCATCTAAGCATTCTACCTATTCTGCATCTATATAGGATTCTAGCTTCAGATTCTCATGATTTGAGAAAAGAATGCCTCTGCCAGGGTGTTTTTTCAGATATGCAAGTATCTGAAAAAAGAATGCCTTAACTGAAGATGACACAACTTAAGATGAGGTAGGATCAGCAAGTAGTTCTTCACCAAGAACCTTTGATTCTTCAGTAAGAATCAAATGGGGTAGTACGCACAACTTCAGAATTGTTAATTCTAGCAAGAAACAATATCAAGATCAAATCTTGATCAGTTCCAAGAATTGGAGATCGAATAGGGTAGGGCAGCAAGAGCAAGGAGAAATAAGAAATGAAGGCAAAAATAGTCAAACTGAGTTGTCTTCCGAATTGTTTGTGTCTTTTCTAGATCCACCCTGCTCTTTATTTATAGCCTTAAAGAGATGACCTCCTAATCTGATTAGGAGTCTCTTGATCCAAATCTTTATTTGGATCTGAACTCTTTAAGTGATAAGGATAATCCCTTATCTTATCTACGGATAAAGATCAACTATTCCTAATCAAATTAGGAGTTCCTTGATCCAAATCTCTATTTGGATCTAGACTCTTTAAGTGGATAAGAGTTAACCTCTTATCCTTATTTGTTGATCCATACCCAGATTCACCCTTATTTAATTAACCCAATTAACCCAGATTGAAATGGGCTTTAGGCTCATTAAGCTTTCAGGTTTACTTCCTTTTAATGCTAGCTAGTTTGGCTCTCTTTGTATGGTGTGGGACCCTATCATTGATCTACACATCAACTACATGGGTTCAGCCTAGCCTCTATTATAAGGCTTGGCCGAATTCACTGTTAAATACAATTAACCATTGAGTCCATCATCACGAGCTCTTAATGGGCCCAACATTTACACTAATCGGTCATTGGGTCCAGCCATTTTATGAAGGCCCAAGGACCGTGGGCAGATGCAAGATTACCCCATCAGTTATAACCCTCAATGGTCTTACACTTAACCCCTTAGCCCTTAATGATCAAACAATGCCCGACAAGAGAGGACCTCTCCCTCGGCTGCAAGGTACAATGCTGCACTCTCTACTTACATGGATCTCAGGAATTAAAACCTTTTGCAAACAATTTGAAACCATAATATATAAGTATATCTCTATATAAATATATTTTGCAATACCAAATTTCAAACACATTTGAAATCCACTACCGGTAGTTTAGGTTTCCATCAGAGAGAGTGCATTTCCCCGATCATTCACTTTATCCGACAAAGGGGCTGATCCTGTCACTATGATCACCCACTCAATGAATTCTCGGACTATCCCAACATACCCAGGTTTTGACCCCCTCTAAGGATCTCATTGATTAGCACATCAAAGACAGCCTAATCTATCACCTAGTGTAGTATCATAATCGACTCTAGGGGTCAGGTGTAACATACCAGTTTTGCCCATCTATTTCCAAGGTCCAGGGCAATACTGGAATTTGGTCCGGTTCAAGGTTTCAAGAAAACCGACACTTCATGTACCTCAAGTCTCACCCTAGCAGCTGAGACAGGCCACCCCAACCAACTTGGCGGCACATCAGTGTCATCCTTGGCAGGATAAATCTCCCCAGATTTATCCAACGACTATAAAGATTCTAAACTAATACAGATCTCATATGTGTCCAGTTTAAGTGTATTACACAGAAACAAACCATAATAACATGAATCAATATATACTTTATTCATTTACAATAAATGTCATAATGTACATTATGCTGATTGGAGCTAAGGGCATACACTATCTAACAACTCCCACTTGCACTTAGCTCCAATCGGGTACAAGCCGAAGTCCCAAGCTTTTCATGTGTTTCTTTAACACTTTCTGTGTTTGTAATCAAATTTCTCAAGTTCTCTAGTTTCTTAAACACTTTATGTGTTTCTTAACATAGAGACAATTCTCAAGTTCTCCATATGTGAGGAATTTGTTATTTCTTTTGATAGTAGTCACATTACTAAAAAGAACAAAATAACCATCCACACACAGTTTTGAAACATAAATCAAATTTATTCTCAAATTGGGTACATAAAGACAATCTTTTAATGTAATAATTCATTCTCTGAAATACAATTCTATAGTTCCTATGATTGTAGCTACAATACTTGCAGAAGTCCCTAAGTAAAAAATCACTTCTCCGCCACTTAGTCTTTTACCTGTTCTAAATCCCTGCAATGTATTACATGCATGAGTAGAAGCCCCAGAGTCAATACACCAGGAAGCAGATGTGACCAACATATTGGTCTTTATGACAAAGGATTCGAAATTACCTTGTTTCTTGGTCATCAGGTACTGAGGACAATTCCTCTTCCAATGGCCGGTCTACTTGTAGAAGTGACAATGATTTGATGCCTTGTCTTTCTTCTGCTTTTTAGGCTTGCTAGTTTTCTTCTGAGGTTTCTTCTTTGCCTTCCTCTTCTTTTGCCCGATTTTCCACCTTTAACAAGCATGGCTAAGGGCTCATCCTTCTTTATTAGTTCTTTGGCCCTCTACAACATATTGCTAAGTTCCTGAAGGCTAACATTTAGCTTGTTCATATTATAGTTCATTATGAACTAATTGAAGGAAGGAGGCAAAGAGTTCAGGATGGTATCAACTTTGGTGACATGATCTAGCCAAGATCCAAGAGCCTCCAGTTCATTAATGTATCCCATCATCTTAAGACAATGGTCATGAACTAGTTGGTTCTTGGACATTTATGCGGTCATAAACTGCTTTAGGACCTTTTGACGAGTGGAACGATTCTGCTCTTCATACATGGTCCTTAGACTATCCAATATATCTTTGGACACTTCAATCTGATCGAACTGTCATTGGAGGCTATGATATAGCACCGGGCAAGAGAGTTTTTCTTTTCCCATTTTTGATATTCCCTCCTGTGGGCCTCAGAA